TTTCGGATCCGATCCGATTTGAAATTTCAACAAGATACCCGATCGAGTATAGATGATACTCGACCGGGTATAGACCAAAAATCGGGATCTTCCCTTTTGTCTTGTGATTTTGCACCTTCCTTCCACTTTTGGGGTTCACCAACTGTCCTTTGAGTGATAGTAGACCTGTTTGAGCTCAGAATAAACCTAATCTAAACAATTTACAAGAATTTAAAAAACTAAACTATTACACCAAAAGTGTGTAATTTCCAAAGTGAAAATCAATCAAAACTACTTAAAATCACAAACATAAACATGGAAATTACATGATTATCACAGGTTTCGATATTGTTCCATCTATGAAGGCTAATTTGTTCTTCGCTGATAGAGCAACGTACATACATCTGCTCCATCTGTGATAATTCCGAGCATCCAATTTCAAAGAGATCAATGTTTGACCAGACATTTCTGCATGATGAAGGTATTATGGATTTGTTTCGTTTTGAAGAGGAAATGAAACAAATGGAGCAGAAAGAAAGAGAAGAAACTAAGAGAAAGGAGAACATTGCTCTGATACCATTTTAGAATTTGAACACACAAAGAAGAAAAAGAAATCTATCATTCATCTTACTCGTATTACATTCTAATCCATGGTTTCTACACGCTATACAACAATTACATACACAAGTGTATATTCAAGGTACTATTATAACTAATAACAAACTATATACGTTAGATATGCCAGCTAGGATCAATTTGAACCATATCTCAACTACTTCATACTTCATAGCGTAGCATGCATCTGCATGCAGTAACATGCATGTGCATCTTTAATGCTTCATTGGAGGGAGTATGAGTTATAATTCATAGTGAACCAACCAAAGGTATTCAGAGTTCAACAGCGAAAATGCTAAATATTCAAAAAGTTGTGTAACTGTGTTACACGTGAATTGAGGCACATGAAAAGGCAACTGATTTTGAAAAGAGTAGGAATAAATGGTCATTTTTCTCTGAAGATTTTAATGAGGAGTATATAACTACTTAATCAATACAACTTAGATGACTTAAGTCTTACAGAGTACCTAATGCGTTCTACTTAGTGAGGCATGCGTCAACCAAGAGCTTAATTTCGAAAGAACAAAGAAAGGAAAACACACAAAATGAGGAATCATTAAAGGAAAACAAATGGAAAACTTATGATAATGAGTCATGCAGTCATGCGAAAGTGAGTCATTTCTTGATCACCAACTACTGTTCACTTGGTGAAATATTAGATGAAATTATAAATCATAGATTTCGTAAAAATTAAAAACTTTGTATACAATTATAGGAGGTTAAGAAAAAATTAACAAATTGAAAACTTATGCGGCTCCAAGATGCCTACAATTTCTTGAACTTTCTGGATTGAGTCAAATTGAGCATCATCTCCCAGTGAAACAAATTCTGGGTTTGTTCCGGTTAAGGAATTTTGCTGAAGCGCGTGCCCGGAAATTCTCTTCCAATTGTTTTGAAGAATGCAATCGCTTCGCGTGGACGGAAAGTGTAGTCGAAGTTTTCTGGTTCAATAACATTGGAAACCTTTCCTTTAAAGGTTTTGAACCTCAATGACTTAGATGTCATCTTACTGAAGGCTAGAAATGCCACTGAAATCATTGACCACTTATACAGTTTCGAAACATAGGAATCAAATATTTCTACTTCCAAGTTAAAGTTCCTCATAGTCTGAGAACCATGAAAAAACAGTACTAATGTATTTTTTGTCTTGTCTTACTCTTATAATTCTTTTAGGATAGTCCCCGAAAAAGCCGAAGTATGTTACTACCTTTTTCACTATTTAGTCAGTTTAGAATGTGATATATGCCGAGTTATTAATTGTCTGATTCTAGTAGTAGAGCCAGAAATATAGACTCAACTAGAAAACTGTCTTAAAATGGCCACGGCTTGATGGTTTTAGATTGTGAGGGGCAAATCTTCTTATTTACACATATTTTTTATGAATTTCTCAATATATCGAAGAATTGAAGAAGCATTTTATCCCTTTAGCCCCTCGATCCGCTCTCCACCACTGACCAGATATTATTTGCACACTTTTGTTGTAAACAACTTTCAAGTGCATGATAATATCATTCATATGTTAGTCTCTTCGAGCATAGGTTCACGTGAGAACAATTCTTGCATGTTATTGCTAGCTTTTGTTTAGTTGCATTGCATTATTATGATGCATTGTTGTTTGGACTTTGTTCTCACAGTTTATCTGGTTTGGGTTTACCAAATTTAAGGATGCCGCTTTCAACATTATTAAGGCTGTGTTTGCAATCTCTGTTAATAAGTGCTTTTGGCTTTTTTTTTTTAAGAAAAAAACACTTATTTTACCAAACACTACCAACTTTTACTATCTCGGTTTTCGTGTAGAATCTACTTTTTACTTTTTCTATTACACAAAAAACACTTATTTTACCAAACACTACCAACTTTTACTACTAATCACTTTTTCCCAAAAAGTGCTTTATTTAAGCATAAGTGATTGCAAACAAAGCCTAAGAAGATTGAAGAGATTGAAAACTATCATGAGCAAGATAAGAAATCTGCTAAAAAAGAATGATCTTTGGACCCTTCAATCTCTAAGAAGCTCATAGATGAGCAAATTATGGTTAAATTATTTACTTGCAATCAGTCCTTGGCCTTTTTTCTTTTCCTTTTTTGCTAGTGATGTTTCAATCCTCTGATTCGGCTTTTAAAGAAGTTGCCCGATGGTGATATGCACCTTGAATGTAAAAAGCTTGTGCCGAATATTCGTCGGGCTTTTATAGCCCAGCGTGATATCATTATAACTTATTGGGCTATGATTATACTTAGGAGACACTTCTGGAAACAATATGAAATGGTAATGGTTGTTCAATAGCAAAATTAATACCTTATTACTTGGTGATTTGCATTAGACCTAATTTTTTAGTGTATTTGTTTAGACAAATTCCTTCACAAGCAACGACAATGAACAGATACACAGTCGGAGTGGGTTGAAAGAAACTCTTGAGTTATTAGTCAAGTAGGTTTGTTGAAGTCATACATCATCATCATCATCATCATCATCATTCCTTTCTTAAACTTTTTATTTTTATTCTGAAGTGTGCTTGATGAATTAGGCTAATTCCTTCAGAGAGTTGTTGGAGAATGAGTATGACCGCCACTTTGGTCCATATGAAGGGTCAGAGGTAGGAGGAAGCATGCACTAACGCGAGGTTAGAAAAGGTGGTTTTCAATCTGAAGGTATAAGCCTCAAACCGGACAACTTAATCATTAAAAACTGCACTTATGTGACATTGAATGTTTAAGGAGACAAAGCTACAAAACTATAAGCCATTCAGCTACCAAACTAAGTTAAATATGAAAATATGAAAATATGAAAAACAAGCTATGTTTAAATAAAGACTTTGAGTATAGACCACATATCCTATTCCCATAAAATGAAGATAGATGCTTTGTACTTGGTTGCATTGTTTTCTTAGACTTTTAAGTTGTTTTACCTATATGTGTTTGGTCTAATCATCTCATTAATATTTCAGTATTGCAGAAATCGGTTCCATGTGCTCCATCTCTGTGTGAGTTTTGAAGAGATAGAGTGTAGACTGTGTATTGGAGAAAATGGAATCAAATTTTGGGTGATAACTTTTTTCATGTTAAACCAAATGATGAAAGCTATTCTAGGTCTTCTCTTCAAAACATACAAAGCCTATATGTTTTACTCTTTTTGTTCTACTCTTTTGAATTGTTGCTACTACAAGGTTTTTTATTCTTCATTTTGTTCTTATACAGCTTTTATCATAAGTTCATGCCTCTTAGGCGTAGGGGTGGACCGGTTCCGGTTCGGGCCCGGCCGGGCCTCGGTTCAGAAATGGGAGGCCCGGAACCGGCCAGGGTAATCCCGGGTCCGGGCCGGGCCGGGCCTCGGTTCATTATTTTTTTTGGCTATTCCTAATTAACCCCCAACCCTCCCCCTCACCCCCAAACTACCCCAAACCACCTCAAATGACCCAAAATACCAAGCCCAACCCAAAAACTTAAAAAAAATTCAAAAAAAAAAATATACTCCGTATATATTTTGGCCCGAACCGGCCGGGCCGGTTCGCCAATCATAGGGCCCGGGCCCGAACCGAACAGTAACCATGCCGGGCCGACCCGAACCGCCCCCCGGACCGGTTCCCGGGCCGGGCCGGTTCAAACAGTAACCGGGCCGGGCCGCCCGGCCCGAGTCCATCCCTACTTAGGCGTTATCATGCATTTCGAACTAATTTTCTCACTATCATATACTACGTATACATGTATACAATGATGACTGGATGTTCTAGATCAGACTTGGCTTTGACCCCCACAATGTACCCAGTTCATGGTATTCATAGGAAAATAAAGATCAGGGCTATAATATATACATGTAAAACTGGTTTCGGTGGATCTGTCCAAAAACTGATTAAGCAAGTCAATGACCCCATTGGCAGCAAGTATTTAATCTCGGTTGTTGATTGTGTCTCAACTCATCGAGTAAGTCGATAAAAAAGAACTGTGGAAGCCAAATGAAGAGAAACAGAAGAATTAATTCACTAATTCTTCACATGGTAATCAGTTTGGGCTCACAAGCCACATTCCAAAAAGAATAAATAGATATCTTGACATCCTAAGAACTGAGTAATTAGACACTTTTGATTATTATGTCATTTGAGTATTATTACAAATCAGATAAGCTTACTAATGACTATCGAATAATATAACTATCATGAATAATAAGCTTGGATGGGGATAATAAGCTTAGATGAAGAGTATGGAGCGGAGATTTCAGCTAAATAATTTGTTTTTACTTTCACATTTCAGTCCTCTAAAATTCATATTAAACTTCACCTCAATGGATTTTATATTTTAACATCAATAGGCATTTGAGTAAATAAAATGTATAGTACAAAGTTTTAATAAAAGAGTTAAACTTCGTGAGCCTAAATGATGTTTAGGCAACATAAGAATACTATCCAGTATTCACAAATAATGTTGAAATGTTGATTGATTTAGATATGAACTGCTTAATAAATAGGGAGTATGAGAAAATCTGTGTGAATTTAGGTACATATGCGTGAAACTAATTCTGAAACAAAAAAACAAGAATTAATAGGCATCATATAGCTACATTCTGTGTGTCAAATCAACTGCCAATCATTAATTTGTAAACTTTAGATCATCAAGCATAGGCTTCTGATAGATGAATGCAGCCCCCAGATACACGAGTATACAAAAACAGCTATGACAATAGAATTGCTAAACATGTGGTGAGGGAAATGGCGCTGTTGCATGGAACTGCAGCACAACACAGTTCAATATTTCCAATCCCAATCAGATCAGTTGTATCCTACCTCCTATTCAGTGTTGGTCTTTGTCTTTTTAGGACTTGATCCTTCACATGGAGTGAAGTGTTGTTCATTCTCTGTCCACCACTCGTTAAAAGAACTGACCTAATTCATTAGAGATTTTAAGACAATTAAGATTTACAAATAACAATAAAAAGATGATAATGCCTATACATAAATATATAATACCAACAGACCTGCTGGCATAATGAATCGAGTGTTTCCTTCAGCCTACTCCAACTATGTTTCTCCTCATCTTTGTTTCTTGGGAAGGAAACAGTCTAGATAAATGCACTTAAGTTAGATTCAATAAAAACAGTAATTAATAAGACGATATTTATATAGCAACCAAACACACATATTACCATTTCATATTGTTTCCAAAACTGTCTTCTAATAACAATCATTCTGCGGTAAGTTTCTTCGATCTCATCATAAGCTTTTAAGATCAAGTCCAGAAGCTCCGGTTTAAGTCTTTGCACAACCTTTTGACATTCGCGATGCATCTCACTAAGAGGCAACTGCTTTAAAACCTATATCAAATGATCACATAATAATATGCCCAGTCAGAAATAATACAGAGTATAAGAAGAAGAGGAGTGACTGCAAGTAGATAATTTAACATTAATTTGGTTCAGAATGTGCTTCTTGGTGGTCAAAAAATCGAGAGGTCTTTCTTCTTCAGCAGCAGAGGTCTGGTCTTGTTTATGTTTTTCTTCAATCTCTTCAATCTTCTTGAGAATGCTATACGCGTCATCCTTAAATTTGGTGAACTGGTAATGCATAAACTGTCAAAAGACAAAAGAAATAATGCAACAATTGTTTTGACAAAATTCTCTCTTCAATACAAGGCTTTGATGACAAGGTCATAGTTACATTTGAATTAAAACGTGCACGTGGTAAAAAGCTATTGAATACAGAAATATTTAAATGATATCCAGAAATCTAATTTCTTACCCCGGCATCGATGTGCCCCGCCAGAGGAAGAATATCAGCATCCTCATCCCCACATTTACCAGCCTTGCTTGCATATGGAACAGCACTTTTCCTTAGCAATTTATTATCCATTAGCATGTTAATTATTCGAAAATATCTATCAGTCATGTCCTCTTCAAATTCACTTCTTCTAAGCTCACATGAGAATCCTGATTTCTGCAACAAAAATAACACAATTTTTTTGGAGCATACAATTTCTTACTTCCCAGAACTACAGAATAGGGAATTGAAAACAATGTACCGTGTAAAGCCTTTTAAGGTTAGTATAAAGAACATCCAAAGTTTCTACCGTCCACTCAAAGGCAGCGGTAAGGTCCACAATTATAGCCTGATCTGAAATCTCTTGGAGTTTGCGTTCCTGTTTGCAAATAAAAATAAATATACCATAGAAATCGACAAGCAGAAAATAACTTGTTTGTGTTTCTACCTACATTCACTAAATCCGCTTTAGACTGGAGATCTTTCTCAAATTCCTTCAGAACCTTCATTTTCCCAGAACATTCGTTGCAGGAACACACCTTGGAGAAATCGGATTTGGGTGGAAATAATACACGAGCTTCAACTTCCATATCTACATTCATTGCTTCGACTTCCATGTTCTCCTTAACCTCTGATGCTTCGACATCCAGGATTAGATGATCTAGAATACTTATATCTAATGGAGATGTAGGCATTTGAGCCATACCTCAGGGTTATGAGTTCGTATATCGTACACCTACGGCTGGGAACAGTAGTACATCCGGATATTTTTTTAATTTTTTAAAGCTTCAGCCCAATTTAAATGAAGTTTAATGAATATAATGAAGGCCCACAATAATTAACGAGCACAGCCCATAAACAACAGGTCCTGCGTGGAAAACATGCAAAGGGGCCAGTTTTTGTAATTTAAGTGAAAAATCATGTCTTCCGCTAAATGAGCAATAGTGTACATTTAGTGAGCACCTGACTCACTTTATTGAGTATTAGGAGGCTAATAATAAGTATCACGGTTTCTGTTTCATATATTCTAATTCTTTCTCTTTCTTATTTTTTCTTTTGTAAAAACTTATTAAATTATATCTATAATCCACTCCCATTAATTTCAAGAAATAATTACATAAATATGACTAAGATAAAGTTGGTTTACAAAAATATGATTCATTACTAGAATAGTAATGAAATCATAGTAATTCATGTTCAAGTTTTGAACTTTAGTTACCACAGCACTACGTTGTAGTAATGAATAGTGATATTTATGTAAATAAGTTTTATTTTAGTAATATTCTTGTAAAAAACCCTAATTTCAATATGTGAGTCTAATGTAATATGGTACTTTTGAAATATGCATTGATATGACATTGTAAAAATGAGCATAATATCAGTACCAAATGGCATACATAACTTACAAAATGCATATTGATATGAAAATTGTAAGGTTTGTTAGTTGAACATCACGACATTTTAATTGAGCATCAAAGATTTGTTATTGAGATGAAAATCACGGTTTCTTGTGAATGAGCATTAATGAACTTTTAATGAGCATCAATCCTATTATGTTGAGTATTACGAGTCTAATATAAAGTACTCCGTAATACATTTAAAATGCATTGATATGACATTTGTAAAATCAGGATATGATCAGTATCAGATGAGCATACGTATCAAACCTCGTCTATTGAGATTGATGAAAATCATGATTTCTATTAAATGATCATTAATAAATATTTAATGAGCTCAGACCTATAGAAATGAGCATATGCAAATTACTCCATCTGTCCCAAAATCGTTGGCCAATGTTGACTTTCACGTGGATTAATAAAGTAAAAATTATGTGGTTGAAATTTGTGCAAAGAAGAATGAATTAACTTTAACCACATATTCCTTACTTTAAATGGAAATGGTCAACCTTTTTGGGACGGCCAAAAAAGGAAATTTGGCCAATCATTATGGGACGGAGGGAGTATATCATTTAGAAAATGAGTATATGATGAATACCAAATTTCCAACATAACTTACAAAATGAGTAACAAAAGAATTCAAAACCGCATTTATGGTGCTCATCACTTTGGTCGTTGTGCTCATTTGAATTTAACATAAAACTCAATTCTATTGTTCTCAATATTCATTTTGTGTATTGATATGACATTTTAAAATGAGCATAAAACCAATATCAAAATGAGATATAGAAAAACAAAACATTAATATCCAAGATATTTTATAATTGAATAAATATTAAAATAAAAAAATAAGCGAAAGAAAGAAGGAAACAAGTAATAAAAGCAAGAAAGAAGAAAAGAAAAGAAAAGAAAAGACAATAAAAAAACATACTCCCTCCGTTCTTTAATATAAGTCCTCTTAGACTTTGGCACGGGTTTTAAGAGGAAAATAGTAGGGGTAGTGTAAAAGGTGTAATGAGTAGTGGGTAAATGAAAAAGTAGGAAAGAGAAAGGGGTAATGGTAATAAAAGTGGGGGTATAAAGGTATATTTAAAGTAAAAACTTTCCTTAAATGGAAAGGAGGACAAATAAAAAAAAACGTCCCAAAAAGGAAAGAAAGACTTTTATTAAAGAACAGAGGGAGTACGAGTAATTGATTTGCATCGGAAAAGAAAAGAAAAAAAAAAACAGAAATCGGCAAAGCAGATGTTCCTTCTTCATAAGGAATCGGAAAAGCAAGAAAACAGAAAAGAATAAAAACAAAACAAAAATCGGCAAATCAAAGAAACGTGATTGATTAGCAGCGACCACCAGTTTTCAGCGGACATTCCTCCTTGGTATGGTGCCGAAGGAATCAACGCAGCTCAGATGTAGACGATGGAGCCGGCGGTAATGCCGGTTTCCCCCAGTTTTGGTGGAGCTCGTATCCCTCACTGGCATAAGCATATCATAAAGTCCCTTTTGTTTTTCATCTAAATAATTTTCATCTTATCTCATTGCATTGGCTTACTTAAAAATGGAAAACTCTTAGTGTATATAAAATTCTTTAATTGTTTGTAACTTTGTATACACAAACAATTCATTTAAAAGGGAGCAAAACTTGATGTCAAATTGCCAGTGTCACAAACAATGTACATATTTTTTGTACATCTTGTGTAGTAGATGGTCCCTTAAAAATATGGTACAACAGAAAATAGAAAAATATTAGTGTTGACAGTTGGAGTTAAAGTGAGAAGAAGAAAAGGGGAAAAAACAAACAGAAGTAAAAGTAAACTAGAGAAAAAATGGCATAATAGACTATACAACCGCCCCAATAGGTAATCGGGTATAACCAGTAACCACTTTATTAAATGAGTCATTGATATTTTAATGTAAAATTAATATTTTAAAAGGTGAAAGAGGACATCGTCTGGATGACTCTAGATGTCAGACGCCACTTAAAAATTTCATATATCTACAACCTAAATTAGTTTTAACTTAAAATTAAAAATAATTAATCACAAATAAATTATGATAATAATCAAACAAGACTATTAAAATCTATTATGAACAATATAGTTAGTGGATCCATTACCCATATACAGGCCCGACCCGGACAAACAAAGGGCCATGTGCAAAATAAAATAGGAAGGCCTAGCATATAATCATGTGGCCCAACGTAATTAACATCATCACAGATATTTTCATTTGTAAAAAATACTTTGTGGGTTTTTGTAACAAATTGTTTTATAAAACTCTTTTAAGAGATATAATTAGTTCTTACTCGTATGCTTTTCATATTTGGATTCATATTATCTACTTCCAGAAGGAATTATAATTTATAAAATGTAAATAAAAGAATCCAAATATACGGAGTAAGAATTAACAATTACTACGTACTTGATATAATCAATTAAGGAAAAATGTTGATAAAAAACACCTAAACTTTTCCATTCTGGCTGAGTGTCTGCTCCTCTGCGATTGCAAGTCTGCTGCCTCTAGGTAAGTATGGTCTTAATCCATCCGTCCCGCTATGATTGTCCCATTTTACTTTTTCAGTCCGTCCCACTAGATTGTCTCATGGCTTATTCGGTAAAATTTGTGTGGGTCTAAATGACATGCCAAAATGTGTAGTGTGAAATGGTGTAAAAATGTGAATGGAAATGATGTTTTTATTGGCTTGTAACGATATAGTATAGAGTAAGTGAGTATCGTTCCGCTAGAGAATGACTCAAAAAGAGAACTAGAATTAATGATTGATTTTTAGCTAATCACAAATTGATAACATTTTGCAATGGAGCTAAGCGAACAGATTTTTTTATCTTGTTTTTATAAATGTGCAATTGCTAGGAAATAAAATAAATCACAATACTTGATAATTTAACAATTAATGATATAGTGAAAATTAGGCTTGGGCTAAGAGTGATTTTATTTTCATGTTCATAATAATAAAGATTTAACTGATTAACTTGGTTACTTTTAGGTGTGTGAAAGATTTTCAAATGGTAATCTTCTAATCGTTCCCACGACTTAGTTGATTACACTATCTTAAATTAATTCCGCTCCCGCGATAATTTTATTAAGACAGTAAAAAGTACAAAATCAAATTATCCTAAATTCCTTAACACTTCCGTGTAGCAATTTAGTGGGTGAATTAACTAAAGGGATTTTTAATGAAACTCCACTCCCGTGATAATATTCATTTCCCAATATAATGTATTTAGCAGATTAGAACATTCAACCCAACACCCTAAAATTAACCAAGTAAAAGTTTTAACCAATTATTATCATATGAACATTAACTGTAAAATTTACATCTTGCCCAAGCCTAAACTAATTTAGTTACACATAACTATAGTGAACAATATAAAAGTAAAAATTCATGCTAGACATAATTAACTTAACAGATTAAAGAAATTAAAGTGAGTGTTTAAATAAGAACCTGAAGGCATAAATAATGAAGAACATAGATGAACTGGAACAGAAAAAGCTGGAATCCTTGTATAAAGCTGGCACTGATCGAACCCAAATGTGAATTTCTTGGACGAACTTTATTATTAATATGGAGTATATTGGAAGCTAAATAAACTTCTGAAAATGAGAATTACTAACTGAAACATACAGAAGTGTTCTTGAAAGAATCACTTTTATTAAACAAAGCTAAAGAAAAGAAACAAGGATGATTTCTATCTACTTGGTTGTTCTGCAGCTCACGAATGACTCCTTTATATAGCATCAAAAGAAGAGTATGGAACATAAAATATCTCCAAATGAAGACAAGGATCATTATATTTGAGCAGCCACTTATTTGAATCTTCACCAGATGTGATTGCCAATTTCTCATTTTCTTCCTGCAAATAGCACCGGCCACTGTTCAGTTGTGCATTTTTTTCTTCGTCGGCCGCTGTGTTCTTCTGTTCGGCTCATGAAAGATGATGAAGACAACTTGGATTTTAATTGCTTAGCTTGAAATCCGTAGGTCCCTCCAATAATTCAATACAATAATCACTCCTTTGCATTTCTTCTTTTGGACTTCTACGGTGGAGATTTTATTCACATGTCTCAATGAGTGAATAGTGTTGAGCTCTTGAATGCCAGAGTTTTGGCCGCTTTCCGCCACTTGATTATTTTGGCCGGTTAGCTGTTTGATCAGTTAACTGGTCAAATAGTTAATCGGTACATTTTATTGTAGACAGTCTGGTTTATTCTGAAATGAACTTCGGGTCTCTGAATAAATATTTCGGAGATAAAGTAATGACTCGCTTCACTTTGATGATTTTTCCGTCTTCACTCGGGAGTAATATTTATTTCTTTTCAGAAATTAATATACGTCCCGAATTGTCCTGAAACTCAAAAATATACCAAAACAAGTGCAATACCTTAAAATGTCCAAGATGATAAAGATCAATCTTTTTTATTTAAAAATAAGAAATAAAGTATTAAAAGTGTGACAAAACAAGATCATAAATATGGTAAATTAGGAGTACATCAACTCCCCCATACTTAAGATTTTGCTTGTCCTCAAGCAAAAATATTTACATTTCTCACAAGCAAACGAGCATGCAAAAATGAATTGCCAAATCATATGTGTAATCCTCAAATCATGCACACTTTACTTTCACTCCACCTGTTTAATCAAATTCCCTTGACTTGTCACAAAATAAGAGAAGTGAGAATCATAAAAATATTTTGCATATCATTTGAAACGTTTTGGTCAAATCTCAACTCTAACAAACACAAAGTGTGTGGTGTGAAAATGGAATCTAGCTTCGTTTGTTCAACCATGCAAAATTATGCAAAATAAGATTCTCCTATCAACTTATTTCAGACAAAACACAATTAGGATCAGTTAGGACTTTCACATAGGGTTATAATGAGGTCTATGAGATAAGGCTTATGAACAAAGGGAATTAATGAGGAAACAAAAGAAATGAACTTGACATAAATTTAACAAATTTAGAGAGGTACTAAGTAGTGAGTAGGAGCTTTTGACAATAATCTATACAACACTTGTTATTTTTTTAAAGTTAGGGATAGTAACTAGTAAAAAGGGTAAATTAATGTACAAGAAAAATACACAAAAGAGAGAAGCATATACATGGATATTCAGCCTTGTATAGATTGTTTTTTTTCATTTTCTTTTTTTCTGTTTTTTATTTTATTTTATTTTTTTCAAGGCTTTTTAATGCTTCTAACACTAAGAATTTACAAGAATAATATGTACAATGATGATACAACAAGAACAACTACCCCTATAAACGAATATTAACAACTAAGTAATCACAAAAGTGTAATTATTAAAGCTCCCTAAATGTGAATGACACTCTCTAAACTCATTAAAATTTATGCAAAGTTCATTCTAGGGTGGTTGGAAAGTGTTTGGCTTTTAGGCTAAGGGTCACATATAACAGGTTTTTATGAAAGAAAATAAGAAAAGCAGGGTTAAACGTATAACGCTTATTAAAACAAATGGGCTCAAAGGGGGTGAACAAGGGATATTTATCACGTGGGTAAGGCTAGGTATATGGGTTTATGAAAAATGGCCTATATCATTTCCTAATGTGCCAAGTCAGAAAATCATGTCAAGGAAAATAAAAGCACATAGCACTCTTGTTTTGCACAATTTTAAACATATTGAACAACAATTCACTAGATAACCATTTACGTGCATGAGATGTTTTGTGTTTGTAAAAAGTTTAAAATTTTGACCAAAATTTTACTCAACGCTCAAAAATTATGATTCTCAATCCAATTATTAAGAGACAAGTCCCGCCAACAATCCATGTACCATGTGAAAGAATAGAATGCATGATTTGAAAGTTAAACAGATGATAAGGCAATTCACAAACAAACAAACATGCATATTCTCCCCCCACACTTAGGATGAAACATCGTCCTCGATGTGACAAATATATACAGGGTGAGTGAGTAAATGGGTGGGAAAATAAAATTATTCAATGCAAACACACAAGCAAAACACACATTCAAATGCAAGTAAATAAACTTGGGTTGCCTCCCAAGAAGCGCTATTTTTAACGTCGTGTGCCCGACATTACCTGATTGGTTTACTCATACGGAGGATGATCCAGTTGAACAATGAGTTTCTTCTTTGCGTCCTCTCCTTGAGGATATTTGTTAACTCTTTGGCCACTGACAACAAATTTCCTCCCTTCCTCCGTTTTTTCACTTCCTTCCCCTCGTGAAAGCTTTTACAACTCTCTTTCTTTTTTACACGCTCCACTAACTCTTCATCCTCGTGATCTTTTTCGACTTCCTCCACAACACAAACCTCCATAGGATCCTTGTGAAAGATTCTCGTGAAGTCTCTCACAGATTCATCAGCTATATCAATCCTCCAACAATCTTCCACACATGTAAGATTTTTCACCGTTTGGAAAATATTAAACTCAACCCTTTCATCCCCCACTTCAATTTTTAATGTACCCTTTTTAACATCAATGATGGCACCAGCAGTGGCCAAGAAAGGCCTTCCCAATATGACAGGTACTCGCTCATCTTCATCCATGTCTAGGACGACAAAGTCACAAGGGATGAAATATTTTCCAACCTGTACAGGAATGTCTTCAAGAATGCCAACAGGGTACTTAACAGATCGGTCAGCAAGCTGAATGGTCATTGAAGTAGCTTTGAGAATACCAAGACTAAGGCGCTTGCTCATAGAATAAGGCATAAGGCTAACACTAGCCCCAAGGTCACATAAAGCTTTGTTAACCATGAACCCTCCAATTATGCATGGTATAGTAAAGCTACCTGGATCCTTCAATTTTTCTGGAAGTTTCTTCTGAATGATAGCACTGGATCCCTCGCTCATGGCTATTGTAGCTTTCTCCTCGAACTTCTTTTTGTTTGACAGAATTTCCTTCAGAAATTTGGAATATGAAGGCATATGTTTCAGAGCATCAAGAAGCGGGATTGTTGTGTTCAACTCACCGATCCATTTAAGGAATTTATCCCTCCTCTCATCAATTGTTTTCTTCTTTGCTCTATGAGGAAATGGTAAAGGTGGAGCATATGGTTGCACTACCTTTTTTAAACCTTCATTTGCAGAAGAAGTAAGATCTTCTTCATAATTTTCCTTTGATGGTGAAGCCTCCTTTTCAGGAATCTTTTCTTTCTCCACTATAAGTGGTGGATCATAAAGTTGTTTTCCACTCCTTGTAGTGACTGCATTGACATTCTCCTTGGGATGTTCAGAGTAGGCAGGCAACTTTCCTTGAGCTTTGCTAGTTGATGGTGAAGCAAAACTAGCAATTTGGCTCTCTAACATTTTGTTGTGAGCTTGAATTTGATTGAGTTGAGTTGTGAGTTGAGAGAATTGATTAGTAATTCCTTGCATCATCTGTTGGAAATCATTAACTCCAACGAATTGTTGTTGTGGTGGCAATTGTTGTTGCGGTGGATAACCTTGAGGATTTTGGTACCCTTGATTTCCCCTCAATTGTTGGTTGTTTTGGTTTCCTCTGAATCCTTGCTGATTTTGAAATCCAGGAGGTGTTGGTTTGGATGGAAAAGATGGATTTGCTGCACCTGATGAATTACTCCATGAAAATCCTGGATGTGTCTTCCCTTGAGGATTATAGTTTCCTTGATATGGTACTTGAGGTCTACCATATATAGCATCAGCTTGTTCTACTGTGGGGCTAAAAGGAACATTTTGTGTAAGTTCAAGAAAATTACATTCTTTAAAAGAATGCCCTCCCCCACAGAGTTCACAGAACAAAGCTTGAGCTACAGATGATGATGGATTTGTTGCTGCGCTAGAAGTTGATGATGATTGCTTCTCAGTGAGCTTTTGAACCATGGTTGTGAGAGAATCAACCTTTGCTGTTAAAGCTGTTGTTTGGTCAACCTCATAAATCCCTGCTCCTAGCTTTTGAGTTGATCTTTCAGAATACCATGATGAACTGTTGTTACAAATTTTCTCAAGCATCTCTTTTCCAGTTTCGGGATCAAGCTCCATGAAAGCTCCATTAGCAGAGGCATCCACAACAATTTTGGAATTATCATGTAATCCTTCATAAAATGAGACAATGAGATCACCCATGCTCATATTATGATGTGGATATTGAACTTGAAGATCTTTAAATCTCTTCCATGATTCATAAAGAGATTCTGATGGTTGTTGTCTGAATTGTTGGATCAGTTTCTTCATTTTTGATGCCTTAGAAGGAGGATAGAACTCCTTCATGAAATCTCTATGCAACTTCTCCCATGTGTTGAAATAACCGGATGGTTTAGAGTTTAACCAACTCAATGCCTCATCCCTCAGTGAGAATGGGAACAATCTGAGCCTGATAGCATCAACAGAGGCTCCATTAAGCTTAAGAGTTTGGAGAACTCTCAAGAATTGCTTCACATGGCTCGTTGGATCTTCATTCTTTGATCCGCCAAATTTGTTGGTTGAGACCAATGAGATAAGTGCTGGTTTGATCTCAAAATTTGCTGCATCCACGCCTGGATAGAGAATGCTATCTTGTTCCTCAATTTCACCTGCAACATAATCAAGAAGTCTTCTGCCTTGTTGTTGTCTCATGAATTGGCCTTGACCTTGTTGATTATGTGGGTGTTGGTAGTATTGGCCATATGGGTGAGATTGGTATGGGTGCATAAATGGAGGAGGTGGGTAAGAATAAGGGTATGTGTATGGATATGGTGGAGGTTGGTTTTGGTGAATTTGGTAGTTTTGGTAGGGGTGTGGTGGATAAGGGTTGGGTTGTGTTAGAGGAGGAATTTGTTGGAAATTTTCAAATCCAGGGGGTCTTTGATCTCCAAAGAAAGGATTATGTCTATCTCTTGGAGTATCAATGGGTGTATTTATAGGGGTATTTTGTGGTGGCGTAGGATTTGGATTTGGATTTGAAATTTGGTTTTGGCTATTTGGATTATTGGGATTGTTGTGAAGGTCCTCCATGATCTGATTTGGAATTTTAAGTTCAAGGATTTGGGCCTTTCTTCTTTTCCTTAATTCTCTTTCAAAATCAAGGTTAAGTGGTTGCAATCCTTCACTCCCTTGAGAGCGAGTATGCATACACTACTTTTTTTTTTTGTTTTTTGTTTTTTACAATGGGAAACTAAAAACAAGTGATGATAACAGGAAATAAAAACACTTAGTCTCCAAATAAATAAAAACAAACACTAATATTAACTAATAATCAATCAGTAAAACTATGCCATTCCCCGGCAACGGCGCCAAAATCGTGACATGCCAAAATGTGTAGTGTGAAATGGTGTAAAAATGTGAATGGAAATGATGTTTTTATTGGCTTGTAACGATATAGTATAGAGTAAGTGAGTATCGTTCCGCTAGAGAATGACTCAAAAAGAGAACTAGAATTAATGATTGATTTTTAGCTAATCACAAATTGATAACATTTTGCAATGGAGCTAAGCGAACAGATTTTTTTATCTTGTTTTTATAAATGTGCAATTGCTAGGAAATAAAATAAATCACAATACTTGATAATTTAACAATTAATGATATAGTGAAAATTAGGCTTGGGCTAAGAGTGATTTTATTTTCATGTTCATAATAATAAAGATTTAACTGATTAACTTGGTTACTTTTAGGTGTGTGAAAGATTTTCAAATGGTAATCTTCTAATCGTTCCCACGACTTAGTTGATTACACTATCTTAAATTAATTCCGCTCCCGCGATAATTTTATTAAGACAGTAAAAAGTACAAAATCAAATTATCCTAAATTCCTTAACACTTCCGTGTAGCAATTTAGTGGGTGAATTAACTAAAGGGATTTTTAATGAAACTCCACTCCCGTGATAATATTCATTTCCCAATATAATGTATTTAGCAGATTAGAACATTCAACCCAACACCCTAAAATTAACCAAGTAAAAGTTTTAACCAATTATTATCATATGAACATTAACTGTAAAATTTACATCTTGCCCAAGCCTAAACTAATTTAGTTACACATAACTATAGTGAACAATATAAAAGTAAAAATTCATGCTAGACATAATTAACTTAACAGATTAAAGAAATTAAAGTGAGTGTTTAAATAAGAACCTGAAGGCATAAATAATGAAGAACATAGATGAACTGGAACAGAAAAAGCTGGAATCCTTGTATAAAGCTGGCACTGATCGAACCCAAATGTGAATTTCTTGGACGAACTTTATTATTAATATGGAGTATATTGGAAGCTAAATAAACTTCTGAAAATGAGAATTACTAACTGAAACATACAGAAGTGTTCTTGAAAGAATCACTTTTATTAAACAAAGCTAAAGAAAAGAAACAAGGATGATTTCTATCTACTTGGTTGTTCTGCAGCTCACGAATGACTCCTTTATATAGCATCAAAAGAAGAGTATGGAACATAAAATATCTCCAAATGAAGACAAGGATCATTATATTTGAGCAGCCACTTATTTGAATCTTCACCAGATGTGATTGCCAATTTCTCATTTTCTTCCTGCAAATAGCACCGGCCACTGTTCAGTTGTGCATTTTTTTCTTCGTCGGCCGCTGTGTTCTTCTGTTCGGCTCTTGAAAGATGATGAAGACAACTTGGATTTTAATTGCTTAGCTTGAAATCCGTAGGTCCCTCCAATAATTCAATACAATAATCACTCCTTTGCATTTCTACTTTTGGACTTCTACGGTGGAGATTTTATTCACATGTCTCAATGAGTGAATAGTGTTGAGCTCTTGAATGCCAGAGTTTTGGCCGCTTTCCGCCACTTGATTATTTTGGCCGGTTAGCTGTTTGATCAGTTAACTGGTCAAATAGTTAATCGGTACATTTTATTGTAGACAGTCTGGTTTATTCTGAAATGAACTTCGGGTCTCTGAATAAATATTTCGGAGATAAAGTAATGACTCGCTTCACTTTGATGATTTTTCCGTCTTCACTCGGGAGTAATATTTATTTCTTTTCAGAAATTAATATACGTCCCGAATTGTCCTGAAACTCAAAAATATACCAAAACAAGTGCAATACCTTAAAATGTCCAAGATGATAAAGATCAATCTTTTTTATTTAAAAATAAGAAATAAAGTATTAAAAGTGTGACAAAACAAGATCATAAATATTTAGTATAGAGTATCGTGAGTATCGAGTAAGTGAGTATCGTTCCGCTAGAGAATGACTCAAAAAGAGAACTAGAATTAATGATTGATTTTTAGCTAATCACAAATTGATAACATTTTGCAATGGAGCTAAGCGAACAGATTTTTTTATCTTGTTTTTATAAATGTGCAATTGCTAGGAAATAAAATAAATCACAATACTTGATAATTTAACAATTAATGATATAGTGAAAATTAGGCTTGGGCTAAGAGTGATTTTATTTTCATGTTCATAATAATAAAGATTTAACTGATTAACTTGGTTACTTTTAGGTGTGTGAAAGATTTTCAAATGGTAATCTTCTAATCGTTCCCACGACTTAGTTGATTACACTATCTTAAATTAATTCCGCTCCCGCGATAATTTTATTAAGACAGTAAAAAGTACAAAATCAAATTATCCTAAATTCCTTAACACTTCCGTGTAGCAATTTAGTGGGTGAATTAACTAAAGGGATTTTTAATGAAACTCCACTCCCGTGATAATATTCATTTCCCAATATAATGTATTTAGCAGATTAGAACATTCAACCCAACACCCTAAAATTAACCAAGTAAAAGTTTTAACCAATTATTATCATATGAACATTAACTGTAAAATTTACATCTTGCCCAAGCCTAAACTAATTTAGTTACACATAACTATAGTGAACAATATAAAAGTAAAAATTCATGCTAGACATAATTAACTTAACAGATTAAAGAAATTAAAGTGAGTGTTTAAATAAGAACCTGAAGGCATAAATAATGAAGAACATAGATGAACTGGAACAGAAAAAGCTGGAATCCTTGTATAAAGCTGGCACTGATCGAACCCAAATGTGAATTTCTTGGACGAACTTTATTATTAATATGGAGTATATTGGAAGCTAAATAAACTTCTGAAAATGAGAATTACTAACTGAAACATACAGAAGTGTTCTTGAAAGAATCACTTTTATTAAACAAAGCTAAAGAAAAGAAACAAGGATGATTTCTATCTACTTGGTTGTTCTGCAGCTCACGAATGACTCCTTTATATAGCATCAAAAGAAGAGTATGGAACATAAAATATCTCCAAATGAAGACAAGGATCATTATATTTGAGCAGCCACTTATTTGAATCTTCACCAGATGTGATTGCCAATTTCTCATTTTCTTCCTGCAAATAGCACCGGCCACTGTTCAGTTGTGCATTTTTTTCTTCGTCGGCCGCTGTGTTCTTCTGTTCGGCTCATGAAAGATGATGAAGACAACTTGGATTTTAATTGCTTAGCTTGAAATCCGTAGGTCCCTCCAATAATTCAATACAATAATCACTCCTTTGCATTTCTTCTTTTGGACTTCTACGGTGGAGATTTTATTCACATGTCTCAATGAGTGAATAGTGTTGAGCTCTTGAATGCCAGAGTTTTGGCCGCTTTCCGCCACTTGATTATTTTGGCCGGTTAGCTGTTTGATCAGTTAACTGGTCAAATAGTTAATCGGTACATTTTATTGTAGACAGTCTGGTTTATTCTGAAATGAACTTCGGGTCTCTGAATAAATATTTCGGAGATAAAGTAATGACTCGCTTCACTTTGATGATTTTTCCGTCTTCACTCGGGAGTAATATTTATTTCTTTTCAGAAATTAATATACGTCCCGAATTGTCCTGAAACTCAAAAATATACCAAAACAAGTGCAATACCTTAAAATGTCCAAGATGATAAAGATCAATCTTTTTTATTTAAAAATAAGAAATAAAGTATTAAAAGTGTGACAAAACAAGATCATAAATATGGTAAATTAGGAGTACATCACTAAATCATTCTTACTTTATTCTTACTTCATCGATTTAATATCAACTACACAAACTCACTTTTATTAATAACTGTGTCACCTTCTTTTGTCCCAAACTTAGGGGGACAGAGGTAGTAATAACTTACAAGTATATCACAAGCATGACCCAACCTCTCTTCCTCGTGCTTGAGTGCTTACTAAGAGGAGCGATTGTCGAGTGCCTCATTTCAAGGGAATCAAGGCAACGGCCAACAGAAATCGAAATCAGGAAATGGAAAGTCGAATTCAGAGCTTGACAGCAAAAAAATCAGAATAAGGAAGTCGCAGGCTAGAAGAAGAAATCGGACAATGGAAGGAATTGACGATGTTTATCGGTTGGATTACTGTAATAATATTATCATCAAAACTTTGACGATAAGAAATTAAAGTACATACTATTCCTAGTCTCCTCCAATCTGAATCGTTCCGCAATCTCCTCGAAAATCATCGTTGTGCCGCTTCGATTCTCCAAGTCTCCTCGAAAATTCCTCTAATCAATGTGTAATTTGCATTTACACAGATGCGGCGTACATGCTTGAAGCTGCTGCTCGGATATCTCTCCTAAACAATTGGGCCTAGCATATACAGTACTACTAAGCTAAAAAATATGGAGGCCCTCTTAGTAGGGGAGGTCCTGTGCGCTTGCTCCAATTGCACTTGGATTGGGTCGGGCCTGCCCATATATACATAATGAAAAGAGAAAAGTATCATCGTTTATTAGTTGTGTGACAAATAATAAATAAAATGTATAAAACTATAACTGAAAATAAATGAGGCGGGTACAAGGCAGGTAATAGGGCAGACATGTATAAAATGGTAATTGCCTCATTACCCGTAAAACTAAAACGGACATTCCCCGCCCCGTACCGATTATCCTAAGATTTTTCTCCGTTTTGACCGGATGGTTCAATGCGGATAGATATCAGATCGGTCAATCGGTCATGATGATAGGATGACGACGGAATATTGGGATATATAGTAATATGAGTACTAACATTTTATAGTATTCTTGCTTTGCAGGTTTAAGACTTCAATATACGGAGTATTACTCTTACAATCAACTTAAATGATGTTCAATTTCTAATTTTATATAATAAGATTTGATCAATTAGTAACATTAATGTACTTATATATATTAGCAAGAAAGAGTTAAGTCTTAAGTTTACCATTATATGACATAAATGATACGGATAACCTTGGAACGAGTCCTTCAAAACCCGTCTAAGAATGGCAGTCTGGGACCGAGACCTCTTCGGCTCTTCCCCATCCATCCAGTCCCAATCCGCTTCAAAAATCATGCGGTCCCAGTCTTGGGAGTGGGAACAAGCCCACCATTTGTCTCAGATGTTCCATATCAAGGATCACACTAATATTTTACATAAACCAGAGGTACTGGTTTCAGTCTCCTCCAAAACCATATTTATGATTTATTGATCGGTCACAAAACCGGTTACAACTAGACCGATCCCGAACCAAGGCCTATCGACAACTAGATTCAAGTAGTAATTCACTAGGACCAGGGCCTAACCGATATTCGGCTCTTCACCTTCCAAAGTCCAGCCAAAAGAAGAATCACAACCACATCAAACAAATCACCACACATGCCTACTTTGGTTGCCCGGTCACTAAACTGAGTCGGTGACTGAACCCCGGAAGGGGACTCTCGAGTTGTTGACCAGACCGGTTTGAACCGGGACTGCCCGACCGTCGACCGGACCAAACAGGTAGCGCCTGGTCGCGGATCGAACCGGAGAGAGGCCATCGGGTCATCGCCTAAACCAGACAGGACAGGGCCCCCGTGTCGTGGACCGGACCAAAGAAGGACCGTCAGGTCATGGACCAGACCGGATAGGGATTACCGGGTCGTGGGCCGGACCGGGACCATCAGGTTGTCGACCGGACCGGACCGCAACTGCTCAGCCGGCGACCGGACCGGACAAGGACCGCCGGCTGAACGATCGGACCGGACTGTCGAGTCTTTGATCGGACCGGACGAGAACTGACACCGGAGTAGGACCAGATTCACCATTAGGCGTAATTATGCGAATTCATTGCAGCAGCACTCCAATATCCACATTTTCCAATTCATTAAGGAAAACAAAGATATATCTCATTTTTTGGTTTAGGAAAACAATTTGGTAAACCCATTTTTCTGCTTTCCTTTTTCCAGCAATTTTTTTTGTAAACACGTTTTATGTTTTCCTTGTTCCAATTTTCTAATTTTATGGAAAAATGAAAATATCTCTGTCAGTAAACAGGCTCTTAAATTTGCTAATTACTGACTATTACGCCAACAAGTAAATAATCGCAAATTATATCCTGCACTCTGCTACCTATACCTTGAGCACGGTACAATAAGATATTTTCATACTCCTTGGGAAGTGTTTGCGATTGCTTCTATTTACAAAAATGATTTTTAAAGTAATTTTGGAGAAAGTGCTTGATAGTAAAAGTTGATAGTGTTTGAATAAAATGTTTCTCAAAAAATAAAAGTTGGTAGTGTTTGATAAAAAAAAAGTGATGTGTAATGGAAAAAGTGAAAAACAGTTTAAAGAACCCCTGCAACTTCTTCCGGGTTTTAGTTTTGAAGTTCTCAATTTAAGTAGAAGTTGTTACTTGGAAGTTGGAAACACCCCTTTCGATTTTTTTTATTTCAAGTCAAAAGCTGAAAAAACATTTTTTTTGCAAACACTCCTTTTTTTTTGGATGAAATGTAAATATATATTAACACCCAGAAAAACTATACATCAAGATCTCCTAGCCCCCACCCCCACATAGTGTGAGGGTGAGAAGAGGTTTTTCTTTGATCTACTCCATGCCAAAATAACCAAGTATAATTACTCGGCCCATCAGAATATAACTCAAAAATACATCGGTGCCGCACATGCAAGCACACAGATCAGAGGCTAAAATCTAAGAATTACACATGTGTTGCAAGAAACAAACACCCAAAAACCATCAAGGATCTGGTTTATGCCGCGGCATAACTAGAGCCCATGCCTTGATCTTCTAAGTTCGGAATCCAGTTCTGGACGCTTCTCCATGCCACAAGATCGATAAACATACATGCCGTGTAGTAGTAGAGTCCCTAGGCCGCGACATCCATAATGTCCATGCCGCGGCATATGTGTAACATGGAGCCACGTCTAAGCAGCAAACCATGTCCATACCGGCAGTCTTCTATGCACCATGGCTCCCAAAAATTACTTTATGTCCACTTCTAAAAACAGACCAACTCATGCGGGTAGATACTGAAAAGGATCTTGTACACCACATGTTTGATCTTCATTATAATATCTTCTTCGGTCTTCTTGCCATCATCAAATCTGATTACATTCCGTGCATGCCAAATGTAGTAGACAGTTGCACAAAATGCAATTCGAGCTGCCTTAGCCTTCAACTTCGAACCTTTGTGAGTCTTTGTGATCCATTTGACTGCGCTAAGCATTGTCGTCATCTCATGTCGTAGTCCCATCCAGTTCCGGATATGCTGCCATACCTTACAAGTAAAGGGGCAAAGAAAAAAAGGTGTGGTATTGTCTCCAAACCACCCTTGCATAAGTCACACCGGTTCACAATATGGAGATACCCGAGGCTATCCTGCGTAGGAAGCTGATTTCTCAAAGCCAACCATACATTGAACGAGAATTTTTGGGGATGTAGGATTTCCATATGAAACTCATAGGTGTCCTAGCTCCACCTTTAACTCTCAACAGCTCATAAACCTATTGCATTCCCTTAATAGTACGTACTGTAGTACAAGTATATTGGAACTTTAGGCCTATGAACAAAACTTTCCTCATTGCATTCGTACGAATTTATTCCCAACTTCATACTCCCTGGTCTTTGTTTTTTGCTTCTTACTTAGCTTTCTTTTTGCTAGATCCCAACCTGCTTTTTGCTTTCTAGTTCTATTCCAAGATGCTTAGTTTCTAAGAATCTCAGTTATTGAGTTCCTTAGGCATTAAGTTCCTTTTATACGTAGTACTCCGTATTAAATAGAGATGATGAGTTGTATGATATCAGAACAGCCATCTCTTCCTTCCTTTTCTTGGCAGTGTGTGTGTATGGAGCTTTAGTCACAATTGATATCACGGTCCTGTTACAACAACGAAAACTGCCAGTTGTAATTTTAAGGATGGCAGGTAGTCTAGAGCTGAATGTCGAAGCGCTAGAGGTAGAGAAGGATGTAGAAGCCCGTGTCTTATTTCCGCGCGAATCTGATTTTTCCAAGTTGTGTTCCTGCAAAGAATGTTCTGAGAAAATGAAGGTGCTGAAGGAATTTGAGGCAGGCCTACGGGATAAGATGAAACTAGTCTAGGTAGGTCGAAAAAGGCCCATACATTTTATGCATATCGTTCGATGCATTAAGTTTTATGTTTTTATTTACTTAATCAGGTAATTGTAAACAGGAACGTATAGACCAACAGGATCCAGATCTTGAGAACTGTATGTCTCTAGCTTCTGCCTCTTCTTGGACGAGAAGCATGTTAGATCGTCTTCATCGCCGGCTTAAGAGACTATATGAGGTACAATGAATGATTTCGGTTCCTTACTCTGCCTATACTTTGCAAGTAGCAAATTTTATAATATGTTTATGTTGTTTTCATTACAGAACTCAGAAGTCTCATGGACACTCAAAGAAGTAAATCTGAAGAGGAGCTGAGAGATGTAGATTTCGAAATCAGGACTATGAGATAATGAGCTGGTAAAAAGAACTGATCCTGGAGAGGAAAGTGAGGCTAAGGATTCTGATCACCATCCTCTTGCTATGTACATCGAGTGTGGGGTAAGATATTAGATTTTAGGTATCTAGTCAGTTTAGAATGAGATGTAGGGAGAGTTACTGGATATTATTTACTCTCTTTGTGACTCTGTTGCATGTGAATAGAATTCAACAACACGTTTTCATTCATATATTAGTCTTTTGAATCATCAGCCTCGAGTACTTCACATTAGATTGAACAGAGGTTTCTGTC